CAGAACTTTCTGCGAGCCCAGCTGCGTCAACTTTGAACTTCCCTACTGTGTTATAGTTCCCGGCTTAGAGGAAGGTCCCCCAAGACAGCTGTCGTACACTGAGAATGATTGTGGAATGTGGTCTCGTACCGCTATCAGTATCATGAATCATGAGGCACTAAAGTTCGATCAACGCATCAGGCCAATATCGTTGCTCAGGTGCTTGCGTCCCCCTTTCACGTAACCGTTCTTCTTACGCGTCTCCATCGTATGCTGTGACCAAAATCTCAATCATACTGGCAGACCTCCTCTGTGTGTCGCCCTGGTGCTTGTAGCCTCACTCACGCGTATTTAGCTTTTCTACCACGGTGGTATTCAATGTGAGGCTACTGCTCATTAGGGGCAGTAACGATATTTTGTGAAGAATACACAGTACCCCATGACCGGTGCACCTCCTTTACTCTCGGAATCCTGGAAAATCTATGGCATTGTGGGCGGGGTTGTGAAATTTCGACCATCTATGTATCTAGAACATCTGTGCTTTGGGCCTATGCTATCAAGTTATGCTCTCGTACTACTCATATCATCCATATCTGATACCATATGTGTGGACTCGTGCTTGACATTAGGCCACGGCCCTAGTTAGTCTTTTTCGTGTCCTTCTGTCCGCTTATTTTATGGCGTCAAGTATAATCTAACCTATGCGTAGAACAGCGCCTCCATGGCCCCGAAGCTTTGGACACTCGCGATTGCAGTAGACTGATTCCTCCGTCTGAGATGGTCCTAAGCGTTCCACAGTACCTTCCGTTGAAGGTATCTATGAGACATCTCATCATGTTCTGTCATATTCGAGATAATTTCTATATTGGAAGGATGAGTAATGTGGAGGAAACGCAGTATCACTTACGCTGCACTGCGCGAAAAGGCCGTTTCGTACCTTCGATCCACTGGCCGATGCACTACACAGGCAAGTCTAGTATGAACCGAATAACTGTCGCACTCATCATGTTAGGTGCTTTTGTTGCGAGCGCATGTGTACTACTCCTACTCGAAGCCCAGATCAATTGCTTGAAGATTAAAGACTAAGCTGACAATGAGGAGGATTATCCTACAGTAAAACACGGGGTATGTTCTACTTCCCGTGTTGTGAATACCCCTGCTGTTCGATATGCATCCATTGAGTTCTTTCCAAGGCCAACTTGAGGAAGGACATATCGCCCATTCTCAGCCGGATCACATCATCCACCCGGAGAAAGCCACGTCGCCTTTCTCTGGATTTTTCATCCTGAAGCAGCACTCGTTGACTATTTCAAAAATGTCCACACTGACGGTTTGTATTTTTCCCGTCAACATCTTTATTCCATTTTTATTCTACAATCTCATTAGTGCTCAAGAGTATTATTGGACAGCATGTTCCTGACAGCCACAGGATCAATACTCAGTGTGACCCATTGTAATACCTTTCTGTCTAACGTGATCCTATACCTCGATGTACGTTCCGACGGCGGATTACCCCATGAATATTCGCTGACGCTGCACCTGACATAGATCAGCGGTGGCATCGATGTGCAGCTTAGGCTCCTATCTTTCGCAAGCGCAAACTAGCTACATGGACTATAGCAGATCATGCATCGAGATGATGAAGGCTATCGTACAGACTCTACAAATACATAGCATACAATATCCGCCCAAGTGATCTTTCTCGAACAATCCTATCGTACCTACGATCTTTCCTGCTCTGAGATATTACATTCGTGCCATGATGCTCCGTGTGAAAGCTTACTTAGATCTAATTTCAGGCTGTCGCCGGGGACTACATATCTACAGCCTGTCGAGTGCAGTCTCGATTGGAGATAGTCTGGAACATAAAACAAAAGTTGCTTGTTGAGGCCGACCACCCAGCCATCTTCATTGATTGAGATATCCATCCAGGACGACTCGTTAGTGTCGTCGCTCAGTCGGGAAAATGCGCGTGGCAGGCCTCGAGGAGCATGGGTGTTGGATAAAAATCGAAGCACACCGCGGCGAGAACCGTCTGAAATGTCCTTCAACCAGACTGTCCCATCCTGTGTACAAATGATGCATGATGATTCGTGCTCGAATGCGACTGACATGATCCGCGAAGGGTGTCGTTTAAGCGGTATGCACAAGGCCTTCCATTCGCCGATATCCCACACGCAGACTGTCCCATCCAGTGAGCCGGATATAATGTATCGATTGTTCCCCGAGATTGCAACGCAGTTCACCCCTCCGGTGGCAATATGTTCTGTATTCAGCACACCTTCTTGTCTTCCGGACATCTTCCACACTCGGATGGTTCCATCATATGAACCAGATACAATTCTCCGTCCATCTTGTGAGCCAATACCCCATCCATCGTCTGAGAAGACCAGTGCTGGTATAGAACTAAAGAGAGAGTGGCCCCGCAGAAGTTTCGAGGAGGAGAATATATTCCAAGTAGACAGGGAGTCCCACAAACGAATACTCGTCTGACGCGAATTTGATCCTTTACTGCCTCGAGAATAACTTGCGGCAATGTACTGTCCATTCGGCGAGATTACAATCGAATGAAAATATATCTCATCTGAAATCGAGTACTTGTCGAGGAGAAGGTTTATTTTTTTGTTATTCTCAGGCGCAGTGTTCCACACGATGATTGACTTGTCTATCTGTGAACCAGCCACAGCCACGAATTTCCCATCTTCCGACGCTGCAACCAAGCAATTTTGATTGGTCTGAGCCCCTTTGAAAGAGTTCAAAGACTTTCCGGTTCTTGTGTCACTGATATGAATTGTCCTGTCCACGGAAGCGGTTACGATGCGGTTTCCATCTCGTGAAATACCGACGCTGGCAATTGTGTCGGTGAGTTCGCTGAATTTCCCATCTAATGCTTCTCCATTGAATCCGTTGCGTATTATCATCTCTCCATTGCGGGAAAGGAGGACAATACGTTGTCCATATTTTGATATCGAAGCAGCTTCCAAATCGAAATTTCGTTCATGAATCAATTTCAAAGATGATGCATATCGCAGTCTAGTGCTTGTATCCCATACGCAGATTGCTCCGTCGGTACATCCATAGACAATGCCTTCCATCCTGCGAGATTGCAATGGATGCGACGTTACCGTGACGGCCGGATGACAATAACTGTACTAAGCCTGTCTCCACATTGTAGATATGAACCGTGGAACTGTTAAAGCTGCACACGACACATCGACCATCTCCAGAGACTGCAATTGATGTAGCTGAAGACCTGGAATCCAATTCGATGGTATTGACCTGTTCGTTGATTTCTATATCCCATATGAGAATTCTCCGACCAGAATTAGTGACGAGATATCGTCCATCCCAAGAGATGGTGATTGAATCAATGCGCAGGTGCTGTGGAAACGAGCCGACTTTCTGTCCAGTTTCGGTATCAAATACTAGGACTGTCCCTTCATTATCTAGCGATGTGACACGCCGCCCATCTTGTGAGATCGCAGCCGACACAATTGACAATCCCATGCCGTTGCCTTGAACAGAGAATGCCCTAGTGGTGTTCCTAGCCCACGTATCCCATATATAGACCGCTCCGGACATGAAAATGGACACGACACGTCGTCCATCTGATGAGATTGCCACTTGAGACAAGACGGAGTCGGCATGCTCAATGGTTGTAGAACCCACAAGATTTCCACCGTCAATATTCCATAGGTTGATTACGTTGCCCTCTGATACAGAGACAGCGTGTTTGCCATCATACGAGATGGCAGCTAACAAAGCATCTTCAACATGTCCTACAAGTTGGGTGCCCAGGGTTTCGCTCGTCACCGCATTCTGCGCGGACTTTCCAGCTGTCGTATCTTGCGAGCCAGACACGATACGCTGTCCATTCCATGAAATTCCAACTGAATGAATCCTATCGTTGTGCCTTTTGAGCGTTCTTTGCACTTGCGGCCAACTGTCCATACCGCCGGCAATCACTCGAACAGTCTGGCGGATCTTCACAGAAAATATGCGGTGTATAGAGGACTGAGCTGGGCAAAGTGGTAAAGCCGACAAATATAAGTGTGGTGTGCTGTATGTGATGGCATCCCCAAACATTTGAATGAAGCACTGAGCTTCTATCGCGGCATCACTGACATGTTCGTACCGACGGAGGCCCTATAATTATTGTGAAGCCATCAGTAAACAAAATTAGCAGTAGAAATTCAGGAAACCAGCATACCTTAAACCAGGCTGCAATTGATGGGAGAGTTCCTACCACATCATTTAGCCTTCCCATCAATGCCATCGCCTCTAACCAGTACATGAGGCACTCATTGCGGAAGAAGGATGCTATTTCACCAGCAAGTGATTCGTCAAATGGCGTATGACAAACATGTGCTATCCAGTTTCTGCATGAATACGACAGTTCGGGCGAAATGCGATCATTCATTCGTTCTGCAATACCCGGAGATTTGACAGCAGCATTAGGTAGATAGGAGTTCTCCAGAGAGCAGATATTGAAGCGGAGTCCGCTTTCCATAATTCGAAGTGAGGAGATAGCAAGGTGATATTGTGCCAAGGACGGATCCACAAAAAATTGAGCACTGCGTACTTCATCCATAAGAAATTCGTAGAACGATGAATGGAGCGGTCGAACCGGAATATAATTGTCCGTAGTAATGGTGAGAAGGGAACCCAGCGGCTGAATGACCCGACGCACTGCATCACGATCATTCTCGAAAGGAAAGTGCAGTCGCATTGCAATCAGACCGGGGAAGGGGAGCGGCTCTGACAATGCAAGAATTTGCCCCATTACAGCGCGAAAGATTGGGATTGCCTCTTCACGTTTGTCGTTTGGTATCGTGTCGTCTAGAATCAGTTTGTACATATCATCCAGTAGCTGTGCACTTCTAGGAGAAGCTCCCGTCACTACGGCATTGAGACGGTCCAAAGGCGATGAGTCCACAGCATTTGTATTCCCGGTATGCTTGATATATGCGCAGGCAAGTCGAGCCCACTCAAATAAGCCATCAGACTTCGTAGCAAGAATTGTAAGGTGGTTGTCGTATGTAGCGATGCTGGCGTCTGCCAGTTCAGTACTTATATAATAACGGATGTCATCAGCTGTGGAGATAGGGTCAAAGTCGATCGAGACGTGGACAACATGTGGCATATCATGCAGAGCGTTCTGAATATCTTCAGTCAGACGGGAGGTAACGAGTATACGAACGTTTGATGGAATTGTGGCTAGTTGTCCAGCGAGCAGACGAAGAATATGCTTTCGGGTGTCGCTTGTGCCACTCTCGTCCAGTCCATCAAAAATGACCACAACAGGTGCAGCTACAATCTTGGATGCCGCATCTATTGGCCGAGAAAATAAGACTTCACATTGCCAAGCGAAGTCCACGGAATGCTGAGAGTCAATGAGGTGGATAACATCTGCCAATTTTCGCCGGACAAGAGGGTTGTTATGAGCCATGTCCCGCGCAATGGTAGTGAAAATCTTCTCAAGTTGATAGTCTTGTCGTCGTGTACGATCGAAGGAAATACAAGATGCAAGTTCTCCACGCTCATCCAATGAGCTAGCTATTGTATGAGAAACTGCTGATTTTCCCTTGCCAGCAGGACCAGACAACCAAAAGACCTGTCTTGCATCATCTCCAGTCACATAGATCCAGTCTCTGATCATTGAGAGAAGCGTTTTCCGAGTACCTGAGAGGCACTTCTTGGACGAATTCATTCCAGCATTCTCCGCCAGCGCACACCCCAGCTTGCTAAGATCCAAGTCTTGAGCTGCCAGCCTCGACGGTCACTCGAAAGTATTTCACCCGTATTACAAACTGTACTCACTTGCCCTGTGAATCCTGATCGAGGGACTACAGCGATATCGATAGCGAAGGCTATATATGAGGTCATCAAGGACAACTTTGAAATGTTGAATCTCGGCGTCTGTATTACTCTGGACATCCTGACCGGATTGAATCCCTGCATAGAATCAATAAGTCTACGAAAACTGAAGCTTCTGGGTGTTCACTTACAGAAGCTCTTCTTCTCGCTATAATTGATTATGAAGTCAGCACATTCCAAAACTTGTTGGGCTAGTTTTGCTAAAACCTCCTCCACAAGTTTATCCCTAATCAAGATCTCTTTCTTGGATATATATTCATAGACGGCTGTGATGCTCTTGAGCAGACCATCAATGTCTTCATCGATGCAAATATATTCATCAATCATCTGGTTGTTGAAGCAATGCAGTAGTCATATTAAGAAGAGCCTTATGGAATTTACCTTAGAAGCACACTTCAAGACTTGCAGTGCAATCGCTGTTGATGGGCAGACCTTGACGGAATACGAGAGGTAAGGCTCTTCAGAATGACATAAACTAATAATGATCATACCTTCCAATTCTCATCAATCCTCAAGCTACAAATCCTCAGATTCTTAAGGAACGCAGAAATGGATGGCGGAATAGTAGGTGGAGTGAGACTAAGGGAATTAGTCAGATGGTTTCTACTCATATGCATGTCATAAGGTACAATCTGCGACGAAAGGTACACTGTGAGCGTAAACCATCAGAAAACCGTAAACAATTGTACATTCCACATGCTTTGCTCGTCTTTAGTGTCCGTCTGCAAGCATATCTGATGTACATGCAGTTAGTGAAATAGAGCGAGCGAAATCGAGAAGATATTAACTCACAGGCGTATGCGGTGTCCCATCGCACAAATTCCAACAAAGACTTCTTTCTTCATTGTGTCGAATGCTATACAGTGTGATAAAGCAGCTGATCTTACCCGTTCCAAAAGGAAACATACAAATAAGAACTCGAATCAGACACTCCCTTCCTCACTTTCTCTATGAACCACCATTGCTTTCCGTCCCGCTTGCCGACAACGGGCGTACCATTCTGATATGGACGATCAACGGCAGCAGCGTACTTAAACTTGACATTATTGATGAGATAGCGGTTTCCAGTGCCAGCAATGATTTCCCACTGTGAATTACATGTAAGCATCTGTAGACTGTAAGACACTTCGATAAAAACTGTACCTGTTCCGCTTCGCAGACTTCGTCAGCCAACTGCGGGATTACACCACGCAAACGCTCCTTGTCGGCGTCCTCCAGAAACGCTACCCTGTTTTTGTGATCGACATTTGTGATCGTTACTATGCCACGGAGAGCGATGTCCATTATATACTGAACACAAGCAAAATTGGTCAGAAACCGGTATAGCTTGGGAGCTTTGTAACTAGATAGGATTCGGCCCGCTTGAGTCTACTGAACCAATAGCTTCGTACCGATGTAATGGCGTATATCACTATGGTAGAGATGTAGGAGCGCAGGTATTGCTACCAGCAAATATGAATGGCCGTAGAAGGGCGACCATTTTAGACGCGGACACCATGCACCATGCGATCAACAGGCGACTGACTTCAGTAAAGACAAATACGCGTGTATGTGGCTTTGCACCAACGGTAGACCTGTACAATGCTATAAGAATTCACATGTACGGATATGATTGATACAAAACAAATACATAGGCTTCTGAAAAAAGATAGCGCGTTTCGATGATGAGTACGTAGGGTAGCTAAGGCAGTCGGGGCGACCTCGATAGAACTACAGATCCGCAAAGAACGAGTGATCCCCCTCTACCTCATTTCGACCCTTCTTGGTTTTAGATGCCTTCAACGAGTTATTATCTATGTTGCGCTTCCGCTTTTTCTGCTTTGGTTCGTGCTCTGCTTCGGGGTCTTCGCCTCTTGAATTCGCCTCTTCCTCCGCGTCCTCTTGTTCAGAACTCTCACTGCTATTCTGCTCTTCGTTCCTGATATTGAATGTCGTGGCTTTTCCACCAGCCTGTTCGTTCTCGCTGTCCTCCACGTCACTGCTGCCCTCCTTCTCCGAGTCCTTATCTCCCTCGTCCTCAAACACTTCCTTCAAGTCAGTCAGCTTCAGTATCTCTTCATGACCTGCACTTCCAACCCAACGACCTTCTCCATCTCGATCAACCGCAATACGTTCAATTGGAAACTCGCCATGGTCTGCGACGACACCCAACAACTTAGTTGGAAAGAGTTGCACGGCGCGCAGAATGCCATCCGAGGAGCCTGTGAGAAATGTGGACTGAGAAGAAGCATATACAGACGGTAAAGAGCAAAGCGTGTCGATAGAGTGAGGATGGCTGAGAAACAACCAACAGTCAGTGAGAGCGGTCACCTGGTAATGACCACTGATTATTACCCAGGAATGCGATCGACACAGTCGCCCCATCCACTGCGTCGGTTGAAAATAGATAAGATGCCTAATTGCGTTCCAACAGCAAATTTTTGGCCTCTAAAGATGTACAGGTTAAAGACGCACAGGACTCGGAGCAGGGTATTTACCCTCGGATGGAGACAATCGATAGCAGCTCGTCTTCCTGGTCCTCCGACTGCGCGATTGGCTCCGCCTTTTTAGACCTCACATCAACGACGGACAGAGTGCCGTCGCCACTAGCAAATTCTCATATATCACTCTAAACTGCAATGAGCAAGACAAACCTTGTTGAGATCAGCTGCTTCGAATCGTCTAGCCATAGAAAATCGGAGATAAAATCAAAGTGGTGATTGTATTGTCGCGCTGCGTCTGGCCTTCGGGGATCCCACAGCTGAACAACTAGTGTAAGAATCAAGGCGACCAGTTCTTCGCGGCCAGCCGCACCTTGATGACACCATCATCATCTCCAGATGCGAGGAGATTGGGTTGAAGACGCTTCATACGGTTTATGGGTGCACTTGAAGGCCCTGACTATATGAAGAAAACTTCTTCATTGACGAATATACTTACTCGTGGGCGTTCAATCGAACGTCAATTATCTTTCCCGTCGAGACGTCTATAGTACTTGAGTACAAGATCAGCTTTCTGGGACATGCTGTCGAGATACATCCTCACTTCAATGACTTTGCTTTTCCTGCAGCCCACAGCTTACTGCCGTCCTCATTGATGGCTAGTGTACGACAAGACCTCTTGGATGGTCTGACAGTGAATATGCTGCTATGTCCGCCATCCTCGTCGTAGCTGAACGCCTTTACGTGTCCAGTGAGTAGTCCAGTGAAGACAATGGAGGTAATTGGATGAAAGACGAGGTCAAAAATCTGAGTGCCCACAGGGATATCGGGCATTACAGCGAGAGCGAAGAGGTGGCTGAGACCGAAGGACTCGGAGACACTACAAATAAATCATCCTTTTGACGCCATCGAAAGGCACGCGAAAGGCATTAGAATTGTGCGATAAAGACCTTAAACAATGCTATGTGGGAATCTAACCTTTCTCCATACTTGAAAGCAGCATTTGCCTTTCCAAAGCTGTGAAAGGCGCACTTATCGAGGCTTAAATAGTTCAAAAAGTAAAATTTATCTAGTCTCGTTAAGGGTCCATTTCCTCCTAAGTAATGGAAAGGATGAGTTCCTTTGTTGTGAGAGGTGAGCCCCCAAATGTGACATGTGACCCCGCACGCCAGCGTGTGACACATACTGATCATTGCTATGCGGGCGCCTGGGCGCAGCTCGTCGAACCGTCGCCCGCACTCACCAATGCTATCAGACTATGAAGCATGACCCGACATTCCCTTCTCCTCGTTCTCCTTGCTGCAGGGAAATGTCTTGCAGAGGTCGCCGTTCTCGCCAAATCCACTTCCCGAGCGACTGACTTATCCACTGGTGTCGACATCCCTCGAGCAAGGTTTTTGGCTTCGGGATCAGGCAGTCTTCATGACGATCTCAGCTTGCTGGACATCGTCCTTGTTGCCTCGGTGGACGGAAAACTCCATGCGCTTAACAGGACGTCTGGGGATACTATATGGTCGATGGCAGCTTCGGAGGGCACTGTGCCCGCGACCTTAGGTCCCCTAGTGCGCACCCAACACCCGGATATCGACCGCGACTTGTTCGACGACGACTCCGTGCACCAGGCAGTCTATGTTGTAGAGCCTCAGTCTGGAGATATTTATGTCATGTCTTCCCCGGATAGCCCTCTCCACCGTCTCCCGTTCTCGATGCCTCAGCTGGTAGACATGTCACCCTTCAGCTTCTCTGGCGGCGAGGAGAATAGGCTATTTATTGGTAAGAAAGAGAGTTCTTTGCTGCTGATCGAACTAGAGACCGGTCGAGTCAAAGCAATCCTTGATTCCGAATGTCCATGGGATCCCTTCCAAGACCTTGCGCAACCTGCAGAGTTCGAGCTCGATCTGGATGAACTAGATGGAACGAAGCCTCCCAAATTGCAATCAACGGAAGTCTACATAGGCCGCACTGGTAAGTTGGAATCATAAGCTTCGCACCCAAGTCGTACTAAATGTATCAGACTATCATGTCTCGATACATACCCGCTCTTCCCGTTCGTCCATTACAAACCCGCCGGTCCAGAGGCTGTCTTTTTCAGTTTATGGCCCTAACAATCAGGATCTCGGACTACAAACCTTCTATCGACACACAGCAGACGATGCATATATCCAGCCTCTTCCCAGCGGCGAGATCCTCTCCTTCAAATCTGCGAACATACATTCCCCGCCGTCTGGGGTCTCACATAATGCGCAACTTCTGTGGGGACAGTCATTCGCCAATCCAATGTAAGTAACAGCTGTCCTGTGCGCAATCATTGAATTCACACCACATTACATTATAGCGTTGCTGTATTCGATGTCTTACGAGAGCCGAAGAGAGATCATCCGTTCGTTCTCTTACAGCCTCGCCTTCAACTGGAAGACATTTTTCCAAATTCGGATTTTCGTGAAGCAGCAGCTCATAGCTTGTTGCCCAATCGCGAATCAGCATATGTAGGGCTGGTAGAAAGTTCGGGCTCACTGTTCGCCATGAGCCCAAGCAACTTTCCGCTTATAGTATTCGGTGACGTAGGAGTTGACCGACTCCTGGACGCTTCTTCAGCAGATGCAGGGGATACGCTCAGAAATATTCCACGCGACCTGGATTTGGGAAAGCTTCGCAAATTGTGCCAAAAAGGGAGTACCGATCTGCGGTGTCTGACTGGCGTACGAAAATTGGAATCTTCCAGCAAGTCGAGCATGAGCGGGCTGCTTGATGGTGCACCGTCCGTTCCCCTTCCTCCCGGGGGGACACGACCGATTGGTCCTCACGTATTTGATAACACCTCTGGGGGCGTTTCCAGCAAGAACAGCGTTCAAAACGAGTCGATGTCCGCCAAGATGGTATGGGACTCGGAACATGAATCCCATCTTAGAAGTGAGTTCGGATTCTTAGATGCAAGTCCTCCAGTGCAAGCATTTTCGGCGTTCGTATTGTGCACACTCCTCTTGCTTGTTGTTTTCGTTTGGGCTACCATGAGGAAGAATACAACTATGCGTGCTACACTTGCTCATGGAACTACACCAGCCGCGAGGCCGGAAATGTACAAGCAAGATAGCACCGCAGAAACCCTTCACGGCACCTCCAATGCACCGCCTAGTCAGTCTGGTGAAGATGTCGCAGAAAAGGTTGTGATGTCTCGACCATCTACTCCCATCCGACCACAAACACCCGGCACAGTGAGCAAGAAAGTTGCTTTCCTTGCCAATGGCAATAGTGACGATTGGGAGTTGATTCGGGCCGGTTCACAAGACGACATTCAAGACGAAGATGACAGCGATAAGGATGGCGACGTACCCACAACTCCTGGAAAACGGAAAGGGCTAAGGAGAAAGCGGGGGAAGAAGAAGAAAGGACCTGCCAATGGTAACGCGGTTCACGACGATATTCAGACTGACAAGGAAGATGGAGAGAAAGAGGGTGCGGCAACTAACGGCGATCCGACATCCCATGTAGCCGAAATGAACGCACCCCTTCCAATTTCACCATCCACAATCGTCCTTTCTACGCCACCCTCACCTGGCCCAGTTGTACCGTCACTCATGGTGTCGGATACCGTATTGGGTGAGTATATACTCGATATTGCAGCTACGACTTCTTGATAAGTTCGCAGGATTCGGATCCCATGGGACTGTCGTTTTCAAAGGCTCATTACAAGGGCGCGCAGTTGCTGTCAAGCGTCTGCTACAAGACTTCGTCACGCTTGCGTCTCGAGAAGTTACTATTCTCCAAGAATCCGATGACCATCCCAATGTGATTCGATATTATTACCAAGAATCACAGGGTAACTTTCTCTACATAGCACTTGAACTTTGTCCCGCATCGCTCGCGGACGTCATCGAACGTCCCTGCGACTTTCAGGAAATCGTGGGCGCGTTCGAACCAAAGCGCGCCTTGCGGCAAATCACTGCCGGCCTCAGACATCTACATGCGCTTAAAATAATCCACCGGGATATCAAACCTCAAAACATATTGGTGTCGCATGCCAAGAAGGGGATTGGTGAGAGTGCTGGACACCGGATGCTTATTTCGGACTTTGGGCTTTGTAGAAAGCTGGAGATCGATCAGACGAGCTTTTTACCCACCGCGCACGGGGCCATGGCAGCAGGTACTGCAGGATGGCGTGCACCAGAGATTTTGAGGGGCGAAGTCAAGTTAGATGAGTCGGGGGGAGATGAATCGCAATCATCCCGAAGCTCTGTCGGATCTTCTTCAACCGCTGGCACGCCTACAGGCAAACCAACACGATTGACGAAGTCAGTTGATATATTCGCTCTCGGATGCCTGTATTACTATGTTCTTACGAGCGGTGGGCACCCTTTCGGTGACCGCTTCGAGCGGGAGATCAATATCCTCAAGAACGCCAAGTCTCTGGAAGGCCTTCAGCATTTCGGCGAGGAAGGGTCAGAAGGGACGGATCTCATCACCCGTATGTTGTGTCCGGAAGCATGCGATCGGTATGTGTTCCAGTACTCGATTGATGATTGAATCTAACAACAGTGTTAGACCGGACACAAGCACATGTCTTTTGCACCCATATTTCTGGAATCCTGGCAAGCGTCTCAACTTCCTTCAGGATGTCTCCGACCGATTCGAGATTATGTGTCGAGATCCGCGCGACTTAAATCTTACTCTTCTCGAGACCAATGCGTTTAATGTAGTAGGATCTGACTGGCACTCGCGACTGGACAAGCTGTTCATTGAAAACTTGGGCAAATTCCGAAAATATGACGGGAAATCCGTACAAGACTTGCTGCGTGCATTGCGGAATAAGGTATGCACTAGTTGTATTTATGGCCTAGCAACTGTTGACTCAGTGACAGCAGAAACATCACTACCAGGACCTACCGGACAACGTCAAACGACTTCTTGGCTCAATGCCTGAAGGATTTTTAGCTTACTTTACTCGCCGTTTCCCCCACCTATTTCTTCATGTCCACTCCGTTGTCTCGTCCTCGCCTTTGCGGACCGAGTCGATGTTCCGGACATACTTCGAGCTCTCTGACTGACTGACATCCCGCATCTCCTGGATTGGATTGCATCGTCGCACGCATCATCATCATTATCATCATCATCATCTATCGTGATTTATTCATCATGCTGTATCTGTATCGCAATGCTGTGTACACTTTATATTACACTGACTTTCCCCCGCTACTGTTCGCCGTTAGTCGTTAATGAAACCGTGTAAATATACGATCCATACAGTAAACTGTTCTGTTAGCTCTACTTAAATGCCATCAGTTGAACATGAGATAGAAAATTTTGCGGCTGGCGAAAGTCATGGCCGCGTGCCGACTACAATGATAGCGGTCACAAAGGCAGCCAGTATCAGCACCCCGCTCGTCAGGGCTGCAATACGACATCGCTTGACCCACGGGTCCATACTCGTCGCAATTTTCTTCATCTTCCGCGTTGAGGTGGCAGTCGTGTGGCTATGCACCGAAGGTGACAAGCTCTCGACGGAGGGCGCTACAAGGGGATACCATATACTCAACGCCTGGAGCTTTTTGCCGTTCATCGCATGTCCATCCAGCAGGCCTGCTCGTCTCTTCGCCCGTCTGATCCACAAAGGAAGAATGGTATCAATATGCTTGCCCTCAGGCTGGACGTCCCCGCCCGCCGAGAGCATCCATCCGCCGATGAGCCAGCACCATGGCCCGATGAATCCTAGCCAAAAGAGTACGCACGCAGAGCTCACTGGCAGGTCCTTCTTCCGCGTCAGTGGTTCGGGTATGGCAAGGCGGACGCTCCCAAATGAGACACCCTTGAGCCAGCGCGTGTGGATATACGACTCGGACTCCGCGAGGGACGGCGAGCGCCGGCGCCGTGGAATGGGCCCTGGAATGAGCGGTTCGGTGAGTGTCGTTTGTACACTGTTACGGCGTGGCTCTGCATCCAGATCAACGTCGTAAAGACCTTCTGGAAGGGCAGTGCCTAGCACTGCAGGCGTGCCATCTGTGTCCGTGACGGTGGAGGCTGCGTAGTCTGGACCACGCACGCTGGGCTCTGCATCCGTGTCAGTCTCCGGCGGGTGCTCTGAAGGCGCGGTGATGAAGCTCGAGGTCCTGGCTGACGACCCATCTTCGTATATGACGGAATATTTAGCTGGGCGCGGACTTGCACAAACAGTAGGCAAGGCCGGAACAGCAAGCCGGGACTTGCGGGGAGGGACGCCCACTGTGGTCTGGAAATTAGGTCGTAGGTCGAGGGGCGGAATGGAGGGCGCAGCCACAGAAGCTGTGGAGCGGAAAGTGCTTGTGGATGTCTGGCTGATGGAGCGGTTTAATGGCCGATTTATGAATGCTCCTGGATAAGCCGAAAGATCTATACGTTTCGAAAACTTAGCTAGTGAACAGTGAGGAAGCAGTGTAAAAATTGGCACGCACTGTGTCCGTCGTGCGCTCGTGTCGAATCTGGTGTAAGGGGCACCGAGTCAAGCGATGGGCGCCGCCTGATTGGCGGGAAGTACACACGCTCGTCAATGGGGTTCAGCATCTTCGCGGATGCAGCTTCTACATGACTGCTATCCTCATCCTCAGATGCTGAATTTTCATGGAGCGACTGGGAACCGTGACGCCTCAGCGATGGCCTCCTTTGACCAACATCCATGGATGTAGCTCTAAAGGGCAAGGAAGGAGTAGAGGCCGTATAGCTCTCGTACGGTGCTCTCCACGCAGGATCTTGATGAATCGCTGGGCTCGCTTGGGGACTTGGGACCTTCCATGAGACATGCGACGGAGTGGGCGCACGAAAACGCTCCATCCTCACACTCATATGAGAGGAGGGCTTTCTTTCAAGGCCCCCTACTCCACTATCTGTCGGCAGTGCCTCATTCTCCGGCGCGAGCTCGTCGCCCTCGTCATGGTCGTCGTCGGTTCCAAATCCAGGACTCGCTTGAAACAAGCTTGTAAACGCACTGAGCATGTTAGCTCCGCGACCAAATTCGGACCAGCCGCGTTAAAGGAAGCAGTAAAACTAGATCTGAGAGAAAGACAAACTGATGTGGCACCTCTTAAGGCTCGCGCTTTTAAGGCAATGAGCAGTGCCGCTGTGTCGCGGAAAAAACCAGGAAACCGAGCCGGACGCGTGTACTTGGGAAGGCTTCGCGCCGCCACGGATTATGGGCGGCTGACAGCCTGCAGGATAACACCTGCCGCAGCCGAAGCATCAAGCTAAAATCGTATTCCTCGGTTCAGATTGAGACTGTGCCGGCCTACAGCTGGGTCTCACGCGGATGTAAATAGAGTCAATAAATGACACTTTATCCACTTACCGAGTCCTATCCGGCTTTCAAACATACAAATTCCCTTGTCAGCATGGCAAAACATACGCTGCAGACATGGCTTAACAGTGAGTCAACACGCGTTGCGCATGCTGGTACCACGTGATTACGACAGCTGAGGAGGAGACCGTACTGTTTCGAGGCCAGATACCTGGTACGAACAGATAATCTTGATTACCGTCGCTAGTTTGCGGCGCCGATAATCAATGCAAAGAACTTTAGTGTCAATTATTGGTCCTGTTTGCATCGCATACTGCTGTTGTACATGACAAGATCATCGAACTTCACCAATGCTCCTCCGAAGATGTCCAAAGAGCTGTGAGTAGGAGCGTCTTACAAACTCAGTAAAGCACAAGGTGGTAATGGGCACACCTCCCATAGGTGAGATCCACCTTGCCCTCCGAAAGGCTATCGACCAGACGTAGATCGTCGATGCCTAAAGAGAAGATGAGTTCATCATCTACACGAGCACCGGCACCGAGGGTGTGCTCACTGTTTGCCCCACCAGCATATGTAGTGGGTATAGTGACCCATTGTCCTAGCTCTACAGGAAGGTGTGAGATGATAAAAAGAAGCCATAAACCATAACCCAACTGGTGACGAGGTCTTCGTCAATTCCCTGACATAATCCCTCCACATCCGCTGCGTGAATCAGAAGTTCGCTGTCCATGATGTAGTCAGAACGGACGTTTTTGTAGAACGAGGAAGAATTCACCTACAATACTCAGACAGCATATCTAATGCGTCTGTACCTGCTCCGTGAGCACCATGAACAGGCGCAACAGCAGAAAAGCATGCCTTTGGTCACTTCCATGTCTGTTGCGGTCTGCCACTTGTTCATAGCCACAAACCATTTGCCTCCTCGTCGTCTGCAGCTAGAGTTTGCAAGGCTCGTCCGAGCCGCTCAATCAGGGGGTATGAACAAACGAACCTGACATCGACCACAAGTCGATCCTTCCCGACGAGGGAGGAGAGCTGACGCAGTCGGTCCAGCGAGAAGCGGGCATTGGGAAATAAATGTGATGTTACGATGACCTGAGGCCTGATGGGGTGCACGCTCTGCGGTACCAAACAAGTTCTCGCACCTTGCTCGCACCTGCAGCAATCCACTCCTGACAATTACCGTCCGTGATTCCACCGCCGATTTGTAGATGATCTGCAAGCAGTCAATGTGGCTCAGGGGGGGG